ACTAAATCAGATAAAAAGTCTGAGAAATCAGACAGAAACTCTGTGTAAGGCCCAGGTGGACGATAGATGATAACAAATAAGACTGGTTTTTGAATTTTTCAGTGGCGGAAAACATGGACAAGGCTAAGCATCAGACTTTCAAACTAATTAAAAGTCTGTCTTGGTCTTTGGTTGATTAATAAGCTTGTGTGGAAAATTGCCGCCCCCTCAGCCTGTGCTTCAAGGATTCTGATTGTTAGTATGACTTGGTGGTGTTGATTCAGTTAAGCTAACATAATCATCCTGCTGTAATTGCAGTACAATTATTTGCAGTGTATTCAAAATAGCTAGATTTTTCATTTCACAGTACAATACACATTTTCTCACATGCCCTCTTAATGTCCATTTATACAGTGGCTACAAAGTGTACACCCTCAGGGCGACCGTGGCTCAGGGGGTTGGGAAGCACATCTGTAACCAGAAGGTCGCCGGTTTGATCCCTGGGCTCTCTGTCCTAGTCGTTGTGTCCATGGGCAAGACACTTCACCTACTGCCTATACTGGTGTTGGCCAGAGGGGCCGATGGCGCGATATGGCAGCCTTACTTCTGCCCCTATAACTGTAGCTTGCCTCCACCAGTGTGTGAATGAATAGTGGAATTGTAGAGCATTTTGGGTTCCTTGAAAAGCGCTATATAAATGCAATCCATTATAATTATTACTCCTATTTATTTAGGGATGGGTATCGTTTAGGTTTTATCCGATACAGGTGCCAAACCAGTACTTTTGAAACGGTGTCGGTGCTTAAACAGTGCTCGAACCGGTGCTTAAAGAATGGAGAACACAAACTTTGTCCAAAAAACCTCTCATGTTTAGCTGTTTCCCACTTTTTCTTTGGTCATTTTAGCCTTTTTGGCCAGGGTGAAGGGAGTATCTGCCATCAAACAAGAAGACAGCGGCATGTAACTATGATGATGTTTGCTAGTTCACCTTACATGCATTAATGTAATAACGTGGTTAGCCTATTCAACGTAAATTACACACGAACAACATTAAGCTACTCACGCAGAAAAGAACGGCTGCTGCTGCCATCATCATCCGTCATCCTTTCTGCTACACTGGCAGGGCTAGGGGCCAGGACTCTCCTCTTTGGGTTTTGGGGGATGTTGCTAACTCTGTGTTCGATAACAGGCACCACACCCGCAGTAGATCAGTGTGAGGTCTTGCAGCAAGCTATCAAATACAGTTCATTTCTCGGCTTTTAAAAAAACACTATGCGTCGCCAGTGGAGGTCCTAGCCTGTTTGGCGCCCTGGGAGAACACTCCCTCCATCTTCCATTGGTTTTAATTTTGCACTCCAGTATGAACACAAATCCCCCAACTCGAGGATCAGCACAACATAAGCTAATAGACCTACACCTTAGTTCACAGATTCACTTTGTCTAAAGCAGGGGTCGGCAACCTGCGGCTCTTAGTGCGGCTCAGCGTAGTTTGGGAAAATAAATTAGAATATTTAGCTGATGTGTATTTTATTTATGTTAGTTTTTTTTTAACTTGTAGTTCTAGAAATATAAAAATAAAATTATATTCTGTACTGCCTCTGCTATGGTTGGGCAGTCAGCTAAACTCCTTCCCCACATCAAGACTCTGACGACACGATTCCCGGTTCACAGGTTTATTGAC